AACATTATGATGCTATTAATAGTCCATTAGGTGGTTACCATTAGGTGAACTCATAGCCCATTCCAGAAGAAATCAATTGTTTAAATATCCCTGTGTCTACATTGGAAACTAATCTCTTATTTTGAAATGTTTCTATTAGGAAAATTTCATGTTCATATGATTTCACAGGTGAAACCTAGTCATCTACAAAATTTGAGAAAGAAATTACCCTAACTTTGCACAAATTCTTCAGAAAGAAAAGTTTTAGAATTATTTCCTAAATTATTTTGGAGAAGTGCAATTGCTCTGTAGGATAACCCTTGAACTGAAAATCACCAGATTTGTGTCTTGAGTGCATCAACCTTTCTGAGGGAGAAAGGTGAGGTTTCCTTTTGCAAAGATTTACATCCTCAGAATTCTTATACAGAGCAGATACAACCCGGAACTGACTCGACGGCACTGAACAAATAAACAAACACAGTTTATTTTAATGAAGTCAGCATTTCCATGACACCAACAGTAATTAATAGAAAATAAAGCTATAGAACAATATGCCTTATGAGTATAGGTGCCTCTCACCTGGAGGGGATCCTTCGTGTCAGTGTAGACACTTCAGCCAGAGGCTCACCTAGAGTTGAACATTAGTGCCATCATACAGAGTCAGCTTGAGGCTCAGAAGGTGGGAAAGCCTTAGTACCTGTGTGGATGAGCCATCCCAGTGCTCACCTGGAGGGACAGCCTCAGTGTACCTACATAGCTTGTTATCATCTGCAAAATAAAATGCCTTTGAATAGACAGCAAAGCACAGCAAACCTATTTTAGGTCTTCTCTAATTTCCCCCAGATCCACTTGAAGTGATATTCTTAGTTCCATATCTCTTCTGAATCCAGGTTGCATTTCTGACAGCATCCTGCAGATGTACTGCTGCAGCCATTTTTGAATTATCTCCAGCATAATTGTACTTGTGTGTGATACTGAAAATAATGTTTGGCGATTTTTGCATTATGTTTCTTTAAATAGGCACAAATGTGGGTCTTTTCCAACCTGTTGGCCAGGGAGGTGTCTTCCAAATTTCTTTGCATAGACAAGTGACAGCCTCAGATCTGCATCACTTTGTAGAATCAAACCTATTAGGACTTTCGTTTGATGATGGGAGGAATTCAAGATGAAAGGAAAACATCCATGCATAATCAGAATGTGAGATGTTTGAAGTAGGATATTTGGAAGTCATCAAAAATGAAATGGAATGCATTAATGCCAATGTGCTAGGCATTAATGAACTGAAATGGACAGGTATTGCCATTTTGAATCATATCATTTACTATGCCTAGGAAGACAAAAGGAAGAGGAATGCTGTCTCATTCACTCATTGTAAAAAAAAAAAAGCGCTTCAAGATCTATTTTGAAGTACAATGCTGTCTGTGATAGGATAATAGCCATCAAAGAAGACCGGAGTCCCCATGTGACTCTGTGGGTTAATGCACTGACTGCAGAGTCAGCTAGGTCTGCCATTCAAACTGCAAAACCCTAATCAGGGTCGCTATGGGTTACAACCAACTGGACGGCACTTAACAAAGAACAACAAGGAAGACCAGTTAATACCACTGTAATTCAAACCACTAAATCCAAATTCAAATCATTATATCCAAGCACAAACTGCTAAAATCAAAGACAATTAAATTAAAAATCACTCTACCAACTTCTTTCCACTATTTCTTTTGTCAGCTTGTCATTCTGTGGTGACTTGGAAGTTGTTGTGATGTTGTAAGCTATGCCACTGGTATTTTAAATACTAGCGGAGTAACCGGACAAGTTACATCTGAGCTTCCAGACTCAGACAGACTAGGAGAAAGGAACTGCTGTCTACTGAATGTTTTTTGTTGTTGTCAGGTGCCATCGAGTCGGCACCGACTCATAGCGACCCCATGCACAACAGAACGAAACAATATT